ACCAGTCTCTTTTACAAAGTTGCTAAAAGCTCATGTCTATGTGTTAATTAGCTAAATCCAGTACGTAATTAAGCACTGCGACTGAAGCAGAACTGCTCAAATTTGAAGGTTCGAATTTTTAAACCTCTGGGTAATTAAAGATTTAGATTACTACTAAATGTTTTCAATACCCTTGACGGATTATACCGAACGTAATGGGGTCACTTGGTTTAATAATTGAATTAGGTTGTGGTTGAGGTATGTCTATTGATTTATCCACTTTGTCGCATTTTACGCACATTTTCTTTACGATAATTGCACCACATGATAGTCCCTCCCAAATATAAACTATAAATATATACAGGGTGTGACAGAAGAATCAAATCAACTATCGAAATTGTAAAGAGGATTTAGTCTATCATTAGTCATTACAAAGACAGTAATTGAAAAAGCTAACTAAATGTTTATTTCATATTGTAAATTAAGCTTCCCAGTCCCATTTTGAGTATGTGAAATTAAGCTATTGCGGCATCAGAGTCAGTAAGTGTAACCAAGCCACACTTGACATAATTTTTGACATAATAAAACCAAATCAATTTTTTTAGCGAATTTTCTTGAAACATTATGAAATAATAGCTATTTATGTATCAAGTACTCAAAATATGGTTTTAGGGGACGAATCGAAATTAATGACGAGGCGACGTAGGAGCCGAGTATTTAATGAGAGGACTCACCTAAAACCTTTTGCGTACGTGGTGCATACAAGATTTTTTTGTTAAAGCTCCCAAAACACGAATTCACACATCTTACTAATTAAAAAAATTTCGTTACCATAGTAACCAATTTTATTTTTTAGTCCGCAAAAACTGTTTTTAGGGACTGAGTACCTAAAATAACCGTTTTGCGTACTATTTTATTGAGTCCGGAAAAGACTCATTTTAGGGACTCAAATGAGTCCCTAAAACAGCTGTTTTCGGGAGCGTATACAAAAAATAGGTTACGATATACACGTAAGCTTCTTTTCGATATTCAGGATTCGGCTCCTTCGTCGACTCGTCCTTAAACATCTCATTCGTACTATAATACGAGTATATGACTTACTGAACTTATAACGTAAAACTATTTTGTTAAATAGGTATTTAGTGACAATATTTTCAATGTTGTTGTACCCATTCCCTCTAAAATTCTGCTGTAACTTAAAAAAAACAATTTGTATATTACAGTCACTCACATTGGTAATTGTAATATTTTTTGTTTCTTGTTTGTCATGAGTTTGTAATTTAGTTTGAATTGTGAGACCATTGTAGTATTAACACTGAACAAGGGCTAGTTAAGTTTTACAACGTGCATAACTGGGACACGGTCTGTAATGACATAATATAACGAAAATACTTGACCCGGGTCATTGCAGCCCTTTTTTTATAAAAAAAAAATTGCTAGTATGTATGTGGTAGATGTCTCGTTTCAAAATGTAAAATTAAATTTGTTTTGAATCTATAAATAAATTTAGCGAGGTAGCACTATATTTAACAGAAATATTTTTTTATTTAAAGCAATATATGAAACTTTGGTTGGAATTTTGTAGTTGTTTTAATTACATGTAATTGTTTTAATTCTCCGTAGGTGGTGATAGGTGGGAAATAAGCAAAGGAAATACGACTGTAGGTCGTAGGTCGTTCCAAGTTTAAATGGCCTTAGGAATTAGACCAGTCCGGCCACAATAAGGCTAAATAGTACGCTGTAACTGTTTCTTTGTCGAAATTTATGGCCCAGGAAGAATATCAGGCAGTTGTCTCTGTTTCGTTGAATATGGTCGTGACAAAAATGCTTTCGGGGGTAGCTGTTGCAACGTTTCCACTGAACCTCGAACAACTTTGATTTTTATCGGAAACTTTCCGCCGACAATATTTATGACGATGTAACTTTTGAATTAACTTCTCACACGGTCCAATATCTGCGAATTGCTGCCAATTTCAACCTTATGTTCTTTCAATTAAACTTCGGACAATTCCTGGATTTCTGCCCTCGAGATTAGATCAAGTTTGAACTGGTGCTGTAATGGCCGCAAATTTCATTACCTAGTCTTATTTTTGTTTAATTGTTGGCTATTTTAGTCGGAAAGGGTTTATGATGCAAATTAACAAAGATTTATTCCGGACAATACGAAAAAAGAATAAAAGGCAATTTTCTTTACAACCCATTTACACAAGGTCTATTAAGAATGAATTTAGGGGATGCGATTCCGGTGCTGGCGGTTAATTTATTTATAATTGGCCAGAACTTTGGTCCTGCCTAATTTTAAAATGGCATGGGAAAGCGTCATTTTACGCATGTTTTCGCCTCAAATAATGACAAATTACCCTTATTTTAACTATTAAGAAAATCAGAAAACACTTTAGCACGCAAATGAGATATCGATTTCAGAACAAAATCGTAAACAGGCCACCAAACGAAAATTAAACACTTTTTTGCAATCAGATCAGTTACACAACTTATTTTCTGAAAGTTAAAATCAGTAAATATAAATATCGGGCCGAAGTCAAAATAACTGAACACAAAAAAAAGATTAGCCCCTTAAACATATAAAAAAACTACAGTTCTGCATTTGAAAATCTCTATTTTAGTTTTATGAATGAATTAAAATTGTTTTAAGTTTAGTCAAAATTCTACCACATTCCACTAACATAAAATCGTTGAGCAAAATACAAAATATAAAATGATTCTCTATAAAAAAAATTTGCAAAAAAGACAACTTGCCTTTAAACGTCACTTACTAATAAAGTCAGTGTGTTAAAAAAAAATGTGGTGGTGTCTAATTTCTTGAATTGTGTGTGGTTCACTAACCAGGCAGGATTTAGGTGAATTCGCGAAAATGCATGTATTGATAGCAGATGATACGTCTTTGAACACCTTTTGTAATGGAAGGTAGGCAAGCCAGGAGTTACTGCAGTCTCATGTTCAAATGTGTTTTTGTTTTTTGTGGTTACTGATAACTCTTCGTACTTGCGCTGATATTTTCTTTTCATATGTGCCTTAGGCGTTGCAACTGGGATCCCTGAAGGGGGTTTTGCCCCACTTTTACAGCCGACTAAAAAACGAATAATCAGAACAGGCAATGTCACTGTGCTTACGATATGTGCACTAATTTTGATTTCACCCTGTATATTACAACCGAGGTAGGGTGTCATTTACCCAAGAGCTAAGTCTTTTTATAATCGACCTATACAACAAAGACTATCGTAACTCATTTTATAGTCAACTGAGAAATAAACACTTTTGTAACTATTAATATAACGAGAGTACATATGCAATTTGTAATAATTGAGAACGTTGCTAGGTGACGAGGCGTAGCCGAGTTCCCTTCACAGCGTACAAGATGGTTTAAATCGCTAATATATTTCAAGCTTTGCGTATCATCTACTTACCTTGTTAAACGCTTGTGGAGACATTTTCAATTTTCAAAAACTGGTTGGATGGGAGCGATGGGAGTCAAACAAGGTTTGTCCAGAGGGTATGTAGAAATAATAAGAATAAGAAAGTTGTAATTGTGCAGAAGATCCAGGTCGGGAACGTTTCAATAACCAATGTGGTCAAAAACTCAATCAATAAAATGTCACTATGAGTTTGTATCTAACGTATTATGATTGTATCGAAGGTATTATGTTTGTAATATTATGGTCTCCATAATTATCAATAATGTGTAACATTAAATGAACTTAATAGATAATGATGCGATAAAAGATTTTATACCAGTTTTAATACAGGGTGTTTTATAAAAAGACAAAAAAAAAGAAATATAACCAGGAACATTAATAAAATGTTTAAACAATTCTATCTGTCAAAAATTTTTGAGATTTATTTTTTAACATTTGACATTTTTTTTATGTCTATTGTTAGCGATGATCTTGTATAGGTATGTTTTTTCATAATTATTCAAAAAAGGGACAAAATCTTTGTCAATAAAAGCTACAAATATCGTTAAACATAGTTACAATTCAGGATACAGCTTTTTTGTTTCCTCTTCTAACGGTCTGTAGCAAATGAGCATGTAAAATTATTTTATTCACAATCACTAATGCACTAGTGCCGATTACTAACCTTTTAAAGGTTGGGAAACACATCATTAAAACCCATGAGCAGTAATATCATTTTATTCCTTAGGCGGTAATATGCAGGTTTGCCAAAGTTAAGATTTTGTTTTTGTTTTGCTCAGAAATTTTGCTTCAAAAAAAAGTTTGTCCAATTTTCGTAAATGAACATTTCTTAATTTAAACAGTTTATTAAAAGGAATTTTTAATTAATTTTTTTTTAAATACAAGTGGTTTTGTCTGAACATTTTAAGAAAAATACAATTTATTTATAAACTCTTTGCGATCACACGGGCGCCCATCTGGGAGGATTATTACCATTCTGAAATCATTAATTCTCCACGTTAGTGTACATTTTAGACCGGAATAACTCAACCACCGCAGAACAATAGTGAGATTATCATAACTTTACTGCATCAGCTTCATTACGACGTCGGAAATTTCACGAAACTGGCAGGTATACGGATCTATTTTTACATCAGAGGTAACAGTTCTCCACATATTCATTTCAAATAATAGGACTCTCGAGAAAAATTGCAGTTTGTTGCTTTTTTCAAGTTTTTACTTGTTTGATCTCTATTGGCATCCAGGTAATTCTATCTCAATAGAGACTGTTTTCCCAGGTGCAGGAACGTTTGTTTGTCGAAACAAAGTTTCATTCTTTTCAAATAAACAAATCTATGCAAATGAATTTATGTCCGGTGGAAAAATCGAATTGGAGTGATTATTAAAAGTTGGGCGATTTTTCTCGGTTTCTGACGCGTGTTTTCAGCTCCTCGCGCTTCAATAAATTACATTACTGAAGGCTATTTCACACGTCGAAGCGTTGTCTTTTCTCTTTTTGACAGATGATGGCGAATCATCTCCGATTCGCCTTCTTTTATCAAGTCAGGTTTTTTTATATTACTAAATATAATTGTTTTTTTTTTACAGTTGTTACGTCAAAGATCCGAGGCCACCAAAATTGTGGTCCGGAGCATCTTGTGCATTGTGCTAAACCCCTTTCGGTGTTGACGGATTCTGGACTAACTTTTGCTACTAATAAACCTGAACTGGACCGAATGTGCCCGTAAGTATTAACAGAATTTTAGGTTACTTAAAGACATGAAAACAATTCATAAAACAATATACCCTGCATATACTAAAACAATTCGTATTCTTTATTACGGCTAAAAAGGACGAAAAGTTAAACCAAGCGAGCGACGAACCATGTACTTTTCAGTTTTTATCGGTTAAATCCAATTTAAAATGTAAAAATTGAATTAAGTTTCTTATTTTATCCCATTTATTATGATATCATCGCAATAACCCCTTCGCAACCAAATGCGCGATTATTAAAGTATCTTTAACAACTCTTCTGCTATTGAGAAAAATGGAATGAAAAGTTATTATTAGCATACAATTATATACATACCAGGTGAATAAAAAGTATGGAACCGATCGTTTTTCCGTAAACTAAGTACTTTACGAAAAAAATAATTAGTGTTGCGTAAAGTACAATTAAAATGTGACCATTTATCAAGAATAACATTTTTCAAAATTTCTTCTAGTTATCGAGTTCTGTAAAAAAAAAAATTTTTAATGGCAACCCACCATGGTAATTTTTTTAATTAAAGCTTATGATCTAAAAATGACCTCTAATTAAATAAAATTGTTTTTTAGCCAGTACTTTTTTTTTAATAAATTGTTAAAATTGCGTTCCGAGGTCATCACGAAGATTTTCCGAACTTAACCACTTCCGAACTTAACCGAAGTGGTTGTTTCATGCATTTCATCATGGGAGAGCGCTGATTTCTATGCAGGTGCTTTGGGGTGGTTTCGAATGGACTAAAAATAGAAAAAAATGATTTGTTATTAGATTTTTTGATCCATCCGGAACCACCCCAAAGCACCTGTACAAAAAACCGGGCTCTTCAACGACCAAAGTCATGAAACGACCCCCTCGTTCAAGTTCGGGAAATCTTCGTAATGGGCTCGGAACGCAACTTTAACAATTTATTTAAAAAAAAGTACTGACTAAAAACAATTCTGTTTAATTAGAGATCATTTTTAGATCATAGTCTTTAATTAAAAAAATTACCATGGTGGGTTGCCCTTAAAAAAAAAATTCCAGAACTCGAAAGCTAAAAGAAATTTCGAAAAATGTTATTCTTGATAAATGGTTACATTATTTATCTATTCTGAAATATTGGAAAAAATGTCATTAAAACACGCACTTCTTTAAGGGGATGCGTTTTACCTAGAATTTTTCGAAAAATGTTTAGAGGAAACTTTTGTCTTAAAATTGAATTCATTATCTATTTAAATTTGTAACAATAACAACGAAACACCCTGTATATAATTAAATTCTCTAAAAAGTGTTTCAAAGTCGAATTATTAACAAGTATTTGAAGTATTTGATAGTATATACCTAAGAAAAAAATCAAGACTTTATTATCTTTTTTGCTATTATTTGTGAATAAATAAAATTTAAAATAAATAATTGATTGTAAACTTTGCGTTTTTTCATAACTGCCTGCCGTGAAATACCATTTTTGTATTTTATTACTTTTGTCGGGTTATAATCAACTTCTTTATTTGAAAGAGTCGTAATTTTTATTGTTTTTTTTATCGGACGCAATGCGTCCTGACGGCGATGGCTTTAAAAAAATAAATGTTTTGTCCCATTCTCGAGTACTTAACGCATGGATTTGCATAATTGAAAACAAACGTTACATCCGCACTCATACTCACAAATCCTGTTATGATGGCGGCCGTTCGTTATTTCGGATTTAAAATACATCAATTATGCGATCTATTATTCGGGTTACATCTACCCGGTTATTGCAGTAACGTGCTTAAATACTTTGTTCGGTCCAACCTAATTGTTGTAAATAAAATGCGGTATTAATGGTGTAAACGAACCGACAGTTCGCGTTTCAGTCGATACTTTCGCATGTGAACTGAATGGAAAATTACCATTTTTTTAAAACATTTTTTCGCATTAAACAATTACTTTTTTAATTGAATAATGAATACTAAAGACAATTCTTTTACAACTAGAATTTTTTCATCAAATTCCATAACTTATTACGTTTTCAACAGTTGGCATGGCTATAGGAAATAATACTGTACATGTTCCGGAAATTATAGAAATGTTTCTCTTTTATCAGAACTGAGAAACTCGAAAGTTGCGAATAGTTCTCTAATTTATGTTGGCGGAATTACATAGCCGGCACATCGCATGCTTTGAAAGCGAACAGACACCGTATGATTTGATTTTATAAATGTTCAACATATCTTCATTGTTTACAGTACTGACAAGATAATTACATGTAACACACTCCCGAAAACTCGGCTTTCGGCTCTATCTTTACGTTCATCATCTTAAAAAATGACTTTTTATCACAGTTACGGTGCATGGGAGTGAAAAAGCAAAACTAGATCTAACTTTGATCTTGACTTACTGGAGCTTTCAGAAAAACAAACAGTAGCTTATCAGACCGACTTGAAATTTAAAATTATCTCTTTTAATATTTAATATATTAATTCTCCTTACTTTGTTGTACCGTTCCTTTTAATTATTTTTACCAAGAAAAATAGAAGCTGTATTTTAAATGTGGAAAAATTGTACGGCAAGTCGCCATTAAATTAATAAACACTTTCGAAAATCTCAACACAAATTCTGATACTGACGACTCATGTTTGTTTATTAGCGTTGTTATGATTGCATTAGTTGCAAAGCGTCCTGATTATTTTGTTCATTTACTTGCTAATTAAGTGTTGCTCTTTACTCTCGATCTGAATACGTTTGCCGATAAAATTGTGTATGTTATACAGGGTGTATTTAAATTAAGTGCCATAATTTTAACCCTAGTATATCCACTTGAAAAAGAACCCTTTAGTGATATTTTGAGATGTCACTTCGATCATGATCGAAAAAGTACCATAATAAGAATAAAACGTGAAAGTAAGCGCAAGTGAATTTGATAAAAGTCTTAAAAACCGCAACAAAAAACTACAACCCATTCCGACGCTAAAACATCTCTCAGAGCGTTATTTTTATTTTCGTACTGAAAATGTTATTTATGTACTAGGTATGGGTTTTCGTCAATTATCGCATCACTTTCTCACTTTCTTATCTTACTTTACGAGGCATATCACGTCTGTTCGGTCTTTTTGACGACACACCTCTACAGCAAATCGAGTAGCAAATGGTCCACAATTATTTCATATAAATAAATAAACTAAATTTATTCTAAGTGTCTAAATGTATTAAGAAGTTTTCAACACTATTTTGGAATGATATTTTTTGTTGACTGTTCCCAAGACATTGGAGAACCCTCTTGTTTACCACAATACAAAAAAATAAGTTGAAGTTCGAATTTTACAAGTATAAACATATACAGGCTGACCCACGAGTAATAATGAACCTGATTTTTTTTTTGAAGCAACCATTATTACATTTCAAAGATTACGTGGATATAAAAATATTTCGTTTTAATTAGTTAAACATAGTAATCGTGTTTTTGTTTTTGACAAATTTCTGTCAGTCAAAATGACTATGTACTACAGTTTTAGGGAGCCCGTCTATTTGGATATCGCGCTGGGTAGAAAACGTGAGTCTGGGAAGGGTTTTTGAAACATTCTTCATAAATAAGAATCTTTTTGTTTTTTTTTTGTCAACATTTTAGTAATTGTCACCAAATTCTCCAGGGTTTGACTTTTTATAAATTAAAGTTAAAGTTCTGTTTGGTCACTATGTTCAGATTATTAAAACCAAATTTTCTAATATCCACGTTATCTTTGAAATGTAATGTTGGTTGTTTCAAAATTTTTTTCAGGCTCATTATTACTCGTGGGACACACAGTACATATGATACGATAATTGTTGTGGGGAGTGTAGTTTAAAATAAATGTATATGTATTTGAAACATCTTAAAATGACGCGTAAGCCGTATAGATTACAAAGTAAATGTAAATAAAGAAATTAAGTTCTCGACAAATGGGTATAAACAAAATTTGTCGATTTATTCCCTCGACATGCGCCGGACTTCGCCAACACTGTTCGCCAACTTAAACGCGTCAACTGTACTATTATTTTATTTACATATAGCCAAAAAACACGTCGGGATGGATATTTTAAACCAACAAAATTGAAAAAGCGTGAACACTAATTAAACAAATTTTATAACCTGTCATTTTTCAAGAATAATAAGAAAAATGAATAAATTGAAAGTGTTTCCAGAGTTTAACATCAATTTTTTAAAGAAAAAAATATTAATAAGCCTTTAAACTGATAATAAATTACTCGTATGTACTTGCTTCCAGAAATAAATAAATTGTACTAATCTAAGTACTCGTAATAAGAAAGTTATAAATAATAACTTTGTTTACTTCAAGTATCATATGAGTAAATAATAATAATATCGAAGTCGGTACAAAACTAGTCTTTGCTTGATTCAAAAAATTTATTATCACCATTTGTCAGACTCAAAATATATAATTTTGTGAAGTACCAAACGACATATTGACAAAGACAGAAGTTTCGCAAGCTAATTTCGCAAATAATTTAAAAACTTATAAAATCCAAGTTCTAATTGACAGATTTAATTATCATTTGTTTGACAAATGGTGACAGTAAAAAATTTTGTGACTCAAGCGAAGACTCGAATTTTTATTTTTAGAGCCAACGTCGACGACTACAAACATATCGTACTTTGGAGGTCAGTAATTAATTGTATCCTGCAGTTACGTAGAGTATAACTTGCTATTAAATACGCGTATTGATATTTTTTAAATTGATAGGTTGATTACAGTCAATGTATTCATTCAAAATGCATTTTAATTTTAAAGTATACAACGTAATTTTCCATTAAAATATCCAACACAAGATGTAATTTGTCCAATCCCAATTCAGTTATGTCACCCAATTTATTGAAGTTTCCCTTATAAAAAATTCATTTGGCCCGTTTCGAATGAAATTTACTTAAGTAAAAAAACTTTGTGTTTTAACTTTGAACGACTTGAATTTAATTTTTGCCAACAAGATGATTATTTTCATCAAAATTATTGTACAAAAACTTTTTAATAAGCTCTTCCAGAATTATCTACCGCAGGCACTTTCTGTTCTCGCAAGATAATTTTTGTATAAATACAAATACAGTATAGTACGTGGTTTATCTACAAACCGAAAAGCGCATTCGAGTCGGCATATTTAGAAAAACACTATAAAAGAAGCAATTATGTACTCTGTACGGTTTATAAAGCGAAGGACATTCAAACATGGAAGTAATCCTACTACTTCTGTTTGTTGTCAGTTAAAAAAGAAGTTCAATAACGAATTTTCAAAAAAATGCAATTTGTATGGTTTTAAAGTCGTAAAGTTTTTAATCTAGCCATTTTTTTAATTAGATGATATATATTTTATTGTTTTCCTCGTAAAATGTTTTTGGGAAGAAACAAACCACAAAGGCAATTAAAAGGTGTGGAAAATTGAATTTAGCAAATCGCGCGAATTTGGCACAGGTCCGGGCTCTAATCGCTTTTAAACTCTGTTTGTTCGCCAAGTCAGCGCTTTAGTGCTGTTATCATCACCTAACGAGGACTTTTTATGCATTTACAAGGCAATCTCGCTGGAAAAAATCGAGCATTTTTATCACGGGCTCATCTGCGCGCTTATTTGATTAACGGCGTCCTGAAATTGTTACAGAGATCTCCGAGACGCCGTCAAATGCATTCATGGTTATACTCGACACTGCATGAGCATGGAAGAACGGGAGCATTTCAAGACGCTTTTCCATGGTACTGTTATGATGGTGGAGGACCTCTGCAGGAACGAAACCTACCAGACGGAGTACCTCAAGTACGCCCCATGTATGAAGAAGGTCGAAAAACAGAACGAGATGTGTTTGAAGACTTACACCAAAGCTATGAAAGATATCGAGTCGAGGACTGAAGAGCAAGCAACGGAAGAGCCGGATTTGGTCACTTACCAGAAAAGGAAAAGGGAGACTGCCGATGAAGGAATCAGGAGCGTCTGTTGGTAAGTTTAAAATTATGGCGATTGCGTGACTTAAAATTAATATCAAATTCCGTATTTCGAAATTCACATTGGGCTCACGTCATGCGAATTTTATTACGAGAATATTTTATGTAAGCCGTAAAAATCAGGAAAACGGAATAGTGCAATAACGACAATCATGGCCAATAATGTATACACCGAAAATAGACCACGATCAATCTAAATTTTTACTGTTTTAACTGATAGATTGGGTCTATTAAGGTTTTATTGGTAGTAAACAAAACTGTTGGCGAAAGTCAACTTCTGTTTCAATAACATTCATAACAAGTTAAACGAAGAGAAGGGAATTTTAGATTTAAATTAGTGACTATGCAAAATTCTATCCACTAATCGCCTGTAACTATGTTTCAGAATGAAACTGTAGTAATTAATTAATTTTTTGAAAACTTTACCACATATTTTTAACGTTTATTTTTCACAAAATCCATTTTTAACATTAATTACTTGCACAAAGGTGTAGTTTTACTTCGAGAAAGCTAATTATTATCACAGGTTGCATGTATAGCTTTAAGCCACAAGTTTTCATTGTTATCATACATAAATTTAGTTAAAATATAAGCAGGACTTTTTTCAACATTTGTTTATGTTCCTACATAAATCATACTTTTATTAAAATGAATTTTACCTGCAAGGCTTTTTTATATAGTTTGTGCATACGAGTAGTTCATCATTATAAGAATGTATCACGAATGCGTTCAGAATTTGTAGAAACTGATGATTGAATGGCGTGCCAGTTTACCTAATATTATTTTATTGTGAAGCCAAAAATGTAAATGTTACAATAATTAATATTTATTATTTCATTCAGACAAAATACAAAATACTGGGTGATTTTAATAGTTGTACAAAAATATTTTAGGAGGTGATTGATTGTACAGGTCTAAAGAATTTAAAATAACACAACTTGTATTATCGGAATGTTTATAGTTTCTGACATATAGAGGGCGCAATCTGCAGCTTAACAGCACAGTTTTTATTTTACCTTTTTTTATTATTTTTTTACCATGAGACACGTCTGTTCGGTCTTTTTGACGACACACCTCTATAGCAACTCGAGTAGCAAATGCTCCACAATTATTTCATATAAATAAATAAACTAAATTTATTCTAAGTGTCTAAATGTTTTAAGAAGTTTTCAACACTATTTTGGTCTAAAGAATTTAAAATAACAACTTGCATTATCGGAATGTTTATAGTTTCTGACATATAGAGGGCGCAATCTGCAGCTTAACAGCACAGTTTTTATTTTACCTTTTTTTATTATTTTTTTACCATGAGGACACTTTTCTGCGGCTGTTTTTGGCTTTTAACTATTTTTTTAAAGAGTGTATTGAATTTTGAAAAACTAACCTCGGAGATCTTATTTGTTTACAATTTTTGTTGGTGAAGTTTAAGGTTATGTAGGTACCAAATTGAAATTTATAATCAACGACCAAAATCCTCTACATCTCAGAAACTATAAACATTAGGATGAGGTACATACGTTGAATTATGTTCGCATTTTTTGTCCTCCTAAAATTTCAACACAATTAATTATTAAAATCACTGTATTGTTGAAATCACAAATTTATTTCTCATTCAAAATAAGACTTCAAAATTGTATTACGTTGTTTATCTAAATTATTTATGTTGCAATTTTGATTAACAGTTTTTTTCTTCTTTGAAGTAATTAAATTTTTCCATTAGAATTTTCTTCTTTCATTGACCCGGATTTTTATAATCTAGAAATGACATTAATTTAATCAATTTATTTAATTTGTTTACTAATTTATCATTTCTTGTTGTCATTGTGACTCTTTCCATGACTATCATCAATATGCAATGTTTGCGATAAAAATCAAGTAGAAAAAAGATTGTCAAAAAATATTTTTGACAGCGCCCTTGTATCGAAAACAACTATTTTTCACAATCATGTGTGAACAAATCGAAATCAATACGCCAAATTAGCCATTTTTTGATTAGGGCTCGAAATTCACATCCCTGTGTGAAATGCTCATTTTCACACAATCATTGACGGCATTTCACTCACTGACAGAATATGACAACTAAATTTTGAAGTATTTTAAATAATTATTTCAAATATTGTGGAAGAAACGTTGTTTATACATATTAAGTATTACCTACTTCTTTTTTATTTATTTATTATGGGATTGTTTTTAACGCTCGAATGCATTTTTGTCTCGACCTTCGGTTTCTACAAAAAACGACATGTTCTTGCATTGAAAAAAACAGTCATTTCGCACACTTATAAATATGTGTAAAAATAACTGTTATATTGATTTCTGTTTGACGTTATCAGATACGTACACAAAAGAAATTAATTATTAAAGAGAACATGTATAGGAATTTTTTGGCAACTAGTTCTGACGTAAGTTACGACATTTGAATTTAAAATCTTGTCTACTTTTTGTGTGTAATGCACTCATTAAATTTCTTACACTGATGACAAAATCTGTAAATGGGATTGCACTTGGATACTAGGCATAAATTATAGATGGTACGGAGTGATTTTGAAATATATAACACTGTTTTTAAACTCATAAATCTTGAAGGTATATATTATAAGCTATGAAAAAAATATACAGGGTGAATATAAAGTATGGAAGGAAGCAGTTTTTTTTTTAATCATTTGCCCCTAGAAAATAATAATTAATATAAATTAAAGTAATATAAAAAATGTGATCCTATTTTGAGAACGATATTTTGTAAATGAGTTATGCGATTTTTATTTGTCAAAATTGCAATTTATGTAAAAAAAAAATTTTGAAAAAATTAAATGTAAAGTTAATAGTTGTAATCCTTACATCATGACCTTCATGAGAAAAATGTTGTTTTAGTGGGTTGCCATTTAAATAAATTAAACATTTTGGAGAACTCAAAAACAAAAGAAAATTTTGAAAAATTTTATTCTTGATAGAACATTGCATTTTTATAGTATTTTACCATTCATCAATTAGTTTTTCCAAAAAATAAATTGTTTAAGCAAAAAACGTTTGGTTCCATACTTTTTATTTACCTGGTACGGTACGTTCGTGAAAATACGAAGTGATCCAGAAAGACTGAGTCTGTCCGTCACTGTACAGCAGCAGTAATGAAAACATTACTTTATTAATAAATAACATTTTTAAAGCATTTGTTCTTTTATAAATTGCAATACTCACTAATCATTATGAGATTATGAGATAATTTGACAAATAAAAAATCAGAGATTGTTTGAAGCAAGTACAGCTAGACAACTATAACCTCACTTTCGGGTTTTGTAATTTTTATCCTGATAGCTAGAGGAAAAATGACAACAAATCAAAACAATTTATTGAACTTATATAAAAACACGTATTGCTGACATTATTGTTTCGGAAAATCGACATCAAAAATAAATTTCAACTAAAACTTTCAAATTTTAGTTTTAAACGTCAATCATAATGACAGTAAAGCGTGGCTTACATTGTCATTTTTTGAACTGACATAAATTTGATGTCCAAAATTTCGTGTCCGCCACTGTATGTTTATATTTTTAATAAACGAATCTATTCGTTACTTTTTGTTCGTCTTTTTTTTATACAAAAATTATATCACCGTATATTTGAAATATAGTAAAAATCAGGAGGGTAGAGCGGTGCCTCATCAATTTCATGTTTTCATTACCAACTTAAAAGTGAAATAAAAAATTCTATCACAATGTAAATTGAAACAATTAAACGGTCTCTAAGGATGGTAGCCTTGAACATGAATTTACATATGTACTTCAACTACACCACTTAAATGTTATGTTGAAGTGAATTTGTCAATTTGGCATTGACAGTAACATTGTCGTCGTTGAAAGTCTGTTTGGTATAATTTGCAAGTATTTTTCGTTTATTGGTTGATTTCTTGCTTTTGTTCTGCGTCTTATTGGTTTCTTTTAGTAATTCCTTACGATTAAGTAACTTCCATGAAATCAGGCATAAATGCACTTGTGTTAGTGTAAAAAATTGAATTAATGACGGGCCACCGATGAAAATTAGCCCCCCCCATCATCTTTTATTTATTCTACAAAAAATGGGACCAGTCTTATAAAAAAAATATTCAAATGCTCTTTTAGTACTATACATATTGTATCTGCTATGTCATAAACCACACTCTGTAAATAAAATTATGATTATTTGAGATATTTGAAGTAAATATGACCGTTGTTTAAGAAATCCATATTTGATGAAGTAATTATGTAAGAGTCAAATTGAAATCGACGCATTATTATGACTCTCAGATAAGTAATTTTCTGGTTTTCATAAGATCAGAATAAAAGCTTCTTAACGTTTATAGTATGTTTTCGATGGATGTAAGATGTAACTTTGTTTTGTAGACATCTTGAATTTCAACTTCTTACCTGGAAGAATGCATAAGATCGTCTATAGTTTTAAACTTTTAAAAAACTCAATGTAAGAAATTACTTGTCCACGCTTCTTATCTCTATGATGATTCCTATTTATGAAATACCGATTTTGCATCCGTTTTCTTCTCAACATACCCACCTATTCTTTAGAAAATCGGTTTTATACTGATGTACACTAAAAATACCGAATTTTAGATACAACATCCAAAAGCATTGGAAAACATAATGATGTAATGAATACACTGCATGTAGAACGTCATTTCCAATCTATTACATTAAATTTTAAATGCCTTTGCAAAGAATCGTGCAAAGCAACTCTTTCATCAATAAACAACTTCTAACTCGTAGATATTGAACCTAACGTCAAAAAAATTGACGTTTTGTCATTGCGATGTAAACGTGGTAAGGAGAAACATCAGATGACGTACCGGTCAACCCCCGTGATTTTTCCCATAATCGTGAAGCATTGTATGAATTTTTTATATTTAATATCTCAATCAATGAATATAAAAAAAAAAAAAATGCAACTCTACAATTCCCTTTTTATCACAGAAGGGTTCTGTGTTACGCCACTGCTCAAGTTTCCCCACCACACCGAGTAGATAGGCTCCGCCTATCGATATCCTTCTGGGTTTTTCTGAGGTTTACAGTAAACTCTTATGTGCGAAATCCTGAGCGCTAAGACTGGAATCGAAAAATAGTATGTTACGTAACAAGTTTAGAAAAGTGTTTTTTTTTTTTAATTGAGTACAGCTAGTTTTAACTACGAGCAATAGCGGCTACGCGTTGCTTTTGGATTGTGTTAATTTGTCATTAAAATTATTGTTTTAGCATATTTTTCTCATCTCTAGAAAAAATTGTTAACAAAAATGATAACACAAAATTTACAGATATGCAACAATTTTGGCGCGGAGTATATTATACAAAGTTTCTTAGGACATAACTAATCTCTAAGAAATATCAATACACAATAATAGAGGTATTTTTGGTTTTTATTTAAAATAGTATAAATAGCTAATTTAATTTAAAAACACCATTCCTTCATATAGTTATTTATTACTAATTTTGAGGTAATTGTTTGCAAGGATCGATACAAAAATTTATTCAGCTGCTCACAAATGTTTATATTCATAGTTATTTTATAAAAAAAAACTGGAAAGAGTTAACAAGATGATGGAATTATTTTGTTTAATTTTAGCAAATGTTACTAAAATTCATACGAATATAAATAAATAATAATACTTGATCCCTTTTTTCAGTTCGTTCCAGCGATACGTGGAGTGTTCAACACACACGATGAGGCGGGCATGCGGTGAAGATGCTGCCGATTTCAGTAGAGAGTTCCTAGACAAGATATCTTCGTCGTTAATTCGGGTGAGTGGTCGAATAATTCAAACTTTGAATGAAACACATAAAACTGCAAACTTGGATATATCGTCGAAACGTGTTTAAAATAGCATCGCGTTAGTTTTTTGTTGCGACGGATTATATTTTTCCGCTATGCGGTATTAAAAGCTTCAGGATAAAGCTGTTAAATTTCGTCACATTCCGACTGCAATTTTACCCTCTGTGTGCAAAATTGTTAATTTTATTTTTGTATTGCAGATGCATTGTAATGAATACGGGAGGAAGGAGTGCGGGATAATATCGGCAGGAGAAGGGCTCTCTAAAATTTCTTCGCTGGTTTTAACTTTATTAGCATCAGTTGCGTATTACGTTAGGTAAATTTGAAGACAATAAATCTTAAAATGTGATCAGCATTTACTCTACTTAAAGATGTGTTAAATTTGTTTGAAATTGTGGCGTTTTCAATCCTTGAATGCTAAACATCGAATAATGCTATGATAGATGTAGTACATATTAAAGACTGATACATATAGAAATAGAATGCATGTTTAGCATTTGAAGTTTAAACGTAACAAATTTATCAGTCATGCTCAATCCTTGAGTCAAATTCTGTATTTGCCAGTACAAAATTTGCACATTTTAGTTTTGTATACGTAAATGCACCTAGCTTCATTATAATATCGGAGAAACCTGTTATTATTTCATTCTTCATAGAATAGAAATCTCATTATTTATAAGACATCTGTAGGTACCTTCGTAGAGCATATCTAGTCTTTCATATTGTCATCAAAAATTTAAATCGTCTAAAAACCAAATGTATTATTTTTTAATATGTTGTGTTTGTTTCTCCATTTCCAGTCACTTAAACCTTGTATACTATATTTATTCAATTATTTTAATTTCATGCCGTCCAGTTAAAATGTGTACAGATTTAGACATAGCATAAGAAATTTATTAAAAACTTTATGAGAAAAATTGAGAACACTTAGATCCAAAAAAAATAACTATCTCAAAATACTAGTCACAGTATACTAATGACAATTAATAAATATATCGTTGGGCTATTAATTTATTATTTATTAGTAGTAAAAGTTGTGTGCTCAATTTTTCTTGTTTGAACATAAAGAAATTTATCAATTGTTCTAACATTTTAAATGTTCCCCAAGAAATAATAAAATGTTTTTTTTAATTAATTCCTTTTTTATTCTAACCTTAATCTGGCATGAAAACATAAGTATTATCTGATGTTTCAGTGAGACACATTCACAAAGTTATAACACTATAACAACAAAACCACTTATTCTGTTCAAATCTGTACAAGATTTCCATTTTATACACTGACGCCTTATTGTTGAACACGAACTTTCCTTAAAACAAAGCATAACCTTAACAACTTTCTTGTTTTGACATTATTGGAATTAGTAATAAATGTTTTTCGTATATGAAATATACCAAGTGACATAGAAAACATAATTTTTTGTATACTATCGGAAAAAATCACGAGGAACGACGGGTGCGTCATCAATTTAATTTTTTCATTACCAACACAAAAGTGAAATAAAAAAATCTATCACAATGTTAATTGAAACAATTAAAGGGTCTCTAAGGATGGTAACCTTGAACATTAATTTATACACAGGGACATTTTTTATTAGTATACATACATAGTATTAGTATACAATTTAAAAAAACGGGTCAATTTCATAGGGTAGGCAACTAACATTTCAAGCTTTAGAGGATTCTAGATGTTAAAATATTCAAACCTAAAATTCTGTGTCAAGTTTGTCAAGTGTCAGTCTTGAAATTTAAAGCGCAGCTTTAAAAAGTTAATACTATTTGTAATACCATGTACACCAAAGTAGATCGGGAGATATGGTCCCCTCGCATGGCCCCCACAATCGCCAGACTTGGCACCCAACGAATTTTTTTGGGGATATTTAAAAACAAAAATTTATACTAATGTTCTAATGCAAAATGTAAAAGAGCTGAAAGAACGTATTCGTATAGAATGTAATAATATAGATCCTGAATTTATCAGGAATGCAGTGCGGACTTTTCAAAATCGTTTGGGTTATTGTTTAAATTAGAACTGCAAGGAAAACGTTTTGAACACTTGCTTTAATTATTTAATATTTTTCTTGTTTTATGGGTTTTCATTTTTTTAAAATTAATATTTAATTACATTTACTTTGTTGTTTTTAAAAGTTTGTCTTTTATTTATCGATTTTAAAGCCTTTGCTTGGTAGCCTATGCCTAGACAAACGGCTAATCGTAATCATAGTAACATTGAAGTTGATCCGGTTTTTTTAACTGTATACATAGGGCTATGTATACTCTAATAAAAAAATGTCCCTGTATGTACTTCAACTACACCACTTAAATGTCATGTTCGAGTGAATTTGTTAATCTAACATTGATAGTAACATTATTGTCGTCGTTGAAAGTCCTTTTGGTATAATTTGCAAGTATTTTTCGTTTATTGGTTGATTTATTGTTTTTGTTCTGCGTCTCATTAATTTCTTTTAATAATTCCTTACGATTAAGTAACTTCCATGAAATCAGGCATAAATGCACTTGTGTTAATGTAGAAAAATAAAATAATAAGGGGTTACCGATAAAAATTAGCGGCCAACCCCCATCATCTTTTATTCTACAAAAAATCTGGTGTGAACGTCACACGACGTTCCTTATCCTTATTTGGAAAACATCCTAACGACAATAATTTAGTGTTGGAAATCCGAGTAGCAAACCTAACCTGCGTTAGTGCCACCTACCGGATTACACGCGAAATAGATCATAGTTGTCGCGGGTTCGAGTCTGGGGTGCAGTTTTTTTTTTACTTTGGTACCCATTATTATTATTGTTTTATCACATTTTACTGTTTAATAAGGTATATTTCATGATTCTAAATAATTTGTATCCCCATGAATTTATTGTATCTTCATCCGTATAATTTTGCGGCCGCTTTACGGCCGACTTTTGGTCTTTGCGGCCGAACGATGCGACCGATTTTTACCAATTGTTTCGTGCTACGTCCCCTTGCTACACATACACACGACCCAATGGCCCGAACCAACTTTTTTGGTTTCTTAAAGCTATAATTCGTCCAGAAATGTAAAAATATAGATAGGTCATATTTCAGCCTTATAAGATAAGGAAAGTAAAAATGGAGCTAATCTTATAAAAAAAAAAACATTCTAATGCTGTTTTAGTATTTTACATATTGTGTCTGCTATGGCACAAACCACACTCTGTAAATAAAGTTGTGATTATTTGAGATATTGGGGGTAAATATGAGCGTTGTTTAAGAAGTCCATATTTGAAGAAGTAATTAATAGTACAAATTGAAATTGACTCCCACATAAGAAATTTTCTGGTTTTCATAAGAGCAGAATAAAAGCTTCTTAACGTTTGTTTTCAAAGGATGTAAGATGCAAGTTTGTTTTGTAGATGAATTGAATTTCTTTTTTTTTTTCTTACCTGGAAAAATGCATAGATTGTCTATGGTTTTTAGCCCTTAAAAAAACCCAGTGTAAATTACTTTTCCATGCTCCATCCTGTTTATGAAAACCGATTTTGTATCCGTTTTCTTCTCACTTTAGCCATTCTTGTTTAGAAAATCGGTTTTATACTGATGTACAGTTGGTTGTAATAAAAACGGAAAATATAATTTTCTTTAGATTGAAACAGGTTTTGCCCTTGTCAATTTAGTTGTCAATTTGTCACCTGTCGCATTCAAATATTTTTTTTTGCAATGCCGCACTTAAATGCCGAGAGCATTAAATGCAAATCAAGATAATCAATTGGTTGAGTAGGTACTTACATGAAATCCCAACGAGTAGTGAGTACTACAGATTAACTGTCTGTTCTAACCTAACCTTTTAGAATTAAGCCAAACTATGGATAAACACAAAAATCTGACATTTTTATGCTTTGACATGTAATGAATACACTGCATACAAGGTGATTCTTTTAGGACCTATATTAGAAACTTTTTAACTTCTAATGCAGATAGAAATTTGAAATTTTGTACACAACCCAAATCAACCAGTCTGAGTTCAACTAAATTATTTTCAAAATGGCTGAACTTCCGAACTACTAGAAATTGGCGCCAACTTTGAAATTTTAAATGGTAACCAATTATTTTTATTGCATTTTTGAATTCTCCTCTTCAAACTGAGTAAAATGTACCTAGTTATTAGTACTTATCTGTCATAGTTTTTGACATATGTCAATTTTTTGCTCAAAATTTTCATTTGCAGAGGTTTATTAAAAACATCACAGCTCTTGAACCGTTTGCAATAAGTAAATAATTTTTCTTGCATTTGATATCCAAAGGTTCGAAGAGTTTCCTAAAATTTTCAAAATTGTCAACTGTCAAATTGCAAAGCTTATATGATTTTTTGAAAATGATATTTAACAAACAGCTATAACTCAGTTTTTTCAAATAAAATGACCCCATTTTCTCAACGGCAACCGAAAGTACGTCGATTTGTAGAAGGACTTTTATCAACATGTCCTATATCCATCTCTTACAGTTTTTGAAATAATCACGAAAAACGTGGTTTTGTTTTTTATTTTTATAGTAAATCACGTAGCCTTTGGAAAATGATCAAAACGAATTAAAGATTTATTAGTCTACACAACACCCATCCGGAATTACAAAGAATTGAGGCGGCATTTAATAATCTTCAACCAAATAAACYAATGGAAGCTACTCAAATCAGTTCACCATCGAGTTTTGGACTGTTTGAAAATGGTAAACATATCGAACATTTGCATTAATTATGGTATATCTTATTGTATTTTTCCAAAGCCTACGTGATTAACTATAAAAATAAAAACATTAACATGTTTTTTGTGATTATTTCAAAAACTGTAAGAGATAGGTATAGGACATGTTGATAAAAGTCCTTCTACAAATTGATGTAGTTTTGATTGCCGTTGAGAAAATAGAGTCATTTCATTTGAAAAAACTGAGTTATAGCTATTTGTTAATGATCATTTTTCAAAAAATCATACTAGCCTTGCAATTTGACAGTTGACAATTTTAAAAATTCGAGAAAAGTTTTTGAACCTTTGGTTTTCGAATGCAACAAAAAATATTCACTTATCGCAAAGGGTTCAAGAGCTGTGATGTTTTGAATGAACCCCTGCAAGTGAAAATGTTGACCAAAAAATGGACATATGTCAAAAACTATGATAGATAAGTACTAACAACTAGGTACATTTTACTTAGTTTAAAGAGGAGAATTCAAAAATGCAATAAAAATAAGTGGGTACCATTTAAAATTTCAAAGTTGGCGCCAATTTCTCGTAGTTCCGGAAGTTCAGCCATTTTGAAAATAATTTAGTTGAACTCAGACTGGTTGATTTGGGTTGTGTACAAAATTTCAAATTCCTATCTGCATTAGAAGTTAAAAAGTTTCTAATGTAGGCCCTAAAAGAATCACCTTGTATAGAAAGTAATTTCCAATGTATTACATTAAATTTTAAATGCTTTTGCAAAGAGTCGTACAAGGCAACACTTTCATCAATAACCAACCTTTAACCTGTAAACATTGAACCTACATCAAAAAAATTGAGGTTTTGTCATCGCACTGTAAACGTGGTAAGGAGAAACGTCAGATGACGCACCGGTCTTCCTTCCAGATTTTTACCATACCAAAATTTGAAGAAAATCGGTTAATTAAAACCCGAGAAAAATTAATATTGGGTTGAGTTTTCTTGAGACGTTATGCACTTACCACGGTGAAGATATTAACGCAGTGCAGCGAGCGCATGCACTGCGTTGGCTGAAGTGTGGCCGAACTAG